TTTATTTACTTTTGTACTAAGATTGAATACAGGAACACTTTACCATTGAACTACATCTTTAATTTTTTTTTTCTTCATACAGGGATTTGCTAAGTTGTTGAGAGTCTCATTAAGTAACCGAGGCTGGCTTCCACCTCTTGAGTTGCTGGAAGTACAGGTGTGAGCCTCTGTGCCCACTCTATTATTTTTATTTTAAAAGTTGTCTTTCAATAAAAAGGTAGTCTTTTCGTGTACCTAAATATTTACCAGATCTCATTATTATTTACAGTAAATTTACATTTCTAGATAATTTCCCAATAGCTTGAAAAATTGCCTTAGCACTTTTTTTTTTAATAATGTGGGGTGCTGGAAACAAATTCTTGAATCTTTCTTTTATCTGAAAATATAGTAGTTTCGCTCTCATTTTTGAAGGATTTTTCTCTAAGTAGAACTATAGGTTCACAGGCTTTTTTTCTTTTAAAACTGTGACTATGTTGTACTATTCTTTTCTGGTTTCCATTGTTTCTGTTGAGAAGTCAGTCATTATTATCATTTTCCCATCTATGCATGTGTCCTTTTTCTTGGGCCACTTTTAAGATTTTTCTCATTACCTTTGGTTTTCAGCAGTTTGGCTATGATGTACATAGGTGTGATTTTTCTGTATGTATATCCTGCTTGGTATAATGAACATCTTGGGTTTTTAAATCAATGTTTGTCACCTAATTTCAGAAATATCTGGCCATTATTCCTTCAAATATTTTTTGTGCTCCATTTTTTCTCTTATCTTCCTTTGGAACTTCAATTAAATGGATGTAAGATAGTTTGATACTGTTCCACAGGCCACTGAAGGTCTATTCAATTCCTTTCTCTATTTTTGTCAGTTCAAAAATTTTCTATTAATTTGCCCCCAAGTTTTGGTAAAGTTCATTTCTGATACTGTGCCTTTCAGTTCTAGACTTTTCATTTGTCTTTTTATATATACAGTTTTCATTTATCTGCTGAGATTATTGTGTTGTTTCACTCATCACAACCATTTTCCCCTTTATATTAGCAGTTAGTGATTTTTTTTCTTAAAAGGTAAGAAAATAAATATTTTAGGCCACCTGGTTATACAATCTTCCATTGCAGCAGCAAAGCAGCCATAGATGAAATGTAAATAGGTGGGCATAACTTTATTCCATTGAAACTCTATCTATGAACATAAATGGTAGCCAATTCGCACGTCATAGCTATGAAGCTAGGAAGTTTGCTGACTTCTGCTTTAGTTATAATAAATGTTCTCAATGATATAAAATATTTTAAACAGTTGTTCTAAATTCTTCATCTGCTAATTCCAAAATCTAGATCATTTTAGGATCTATTTCTATTGACTTTCTTTTTAGTGGGTCACATTTTCCTGTTTCTTTGCATATCTATAATTCTTTTTACTTGCTAGGTATTATGAATTAGACTCCACAGACAGTCTGGATGATAATGTTGTTGTCCTCTAACAGGTGGTAATACTTCTGACAGGCAGTTGAAGGGATAGTGTATCCTCCTGTCTAGCAGGTTTGATTTTGTTTTTGTAAAGGTGGGTCTATTGTGGTTTTGAAATTCATTCTAGGAAAGTCTCTTCTTCTAGAGAAGATGGGCCAGATGTCTGTTTTTTATTAATAAAATTTGGTGAAACTATTTTTCTCTCAGATTCCCCAATAGGCAGTCAGTGCTTGGTCTCACTGCATCTTTCATGTGGAACCCAGACCTTGGCTAAGAGCCTGAGGTGCCCCCCATACTTCTGGGTCCCCCTTTGTTCAGTGTCCTCCTCTCCAAGGCTCCACCCAACAGATCCCAGTCATACCAAGTCAGGGAAGCCACCACAGTGCCTGGGCTCCACTTTGCTGCTTCCTGAGAGGAAAATGCCCCAGGAAGAAATTCGTGCAGTTGTGAGCTCATTTCACGTGTTAGCCTTCTCTCAAATAATGTAGCCCTGAACTGCCTGTCACTTGATACCTGAAACTCCTGCTGCACACATAAGGTGTAAAGTTGTTTTCAACAGAAAAGTAAGTTGGTCCCAGTTACGCTGCCAGAGCTGGGAGCAGAAGTCCTCATTAGTTTTTCTGATATTATCCATGCCTTGTCTTGACAACAGATTGCCTTCTGGCACTTAAACATTGGATTGGCTTTTTGATAAATGCCAGCAAGTAGTAGCAACCATACGGACAGTAGAGAGAGATACCCTTTGGCAGGAGTTAAACTTCACAGTTTAACTTTTAGCGTCTGTTTTTATTGACTGTTTAGGGTAAATAGTACCTTATTCCATGTAATTTTCAAGTCAATAAAATAATTATCATTACACCCATTGCAGAACAGGAAGCTGAGCCATAGAGAAGTAAAAGCAATGAATCTATGAAGCTAGTAAGCTGGCAGAACTAGAATTTAGAAACTTGCAATTTTCTTTTAAAAACTTGTGGGTTTGGTTCTTGACTTCTGACTTCATTGCACTGTGGTTAGAAAATGAATTTCTGTGATACTTATTTTTTGACATTTGTTGAGACTTCCTTCGTTTCCTAGTAAGAGGTCAGTTTTTGTAAATGTTCTAGGTATGCTTGCATTTACAAACCCAACTTTCTCCTCTTTCTACTATGCTGCTTTTCTTGCTTTACTATGAAATTATCGGAATTTATTGAGAGTCTGTGCTAATGATTCCATATAACTGCTGGCCCTGCAAGCCCATTTAAATTGCTTTTGTTTCGTACATTCTTGGACAGAGATAGGCCAACCTGTGCAAGTTCTCCCTAGCTTCAGTTCTTGGGGGAATCAGAGAAGGCCTGAGACACTGTACGGTGTGGTCTTCAGAGTGAAAACATGCTGGATGTCATAAGCATAGAAAAACTTCACTTCATCCTGAGTGATTAAAAGGGGTATTAGTGAAACCCGTGCTGTCTGTAATCCCAGCTGCCTGGGAGGCTGAGACAAGAGTTCAAAGCCAGCCTTAGCAATGGCAAGGCGCTAAGCAACTCAGTGAGACCCTGTCTCTAAATAAAATACAAAATAGGGCTGGGGATGTGGCTCAGTGGTTGAGTGCCCCCGAGTTCAATTCCCAGTACCAAAAAAAAAAAGAAGGCAGGGGGGTATTAATGAGGGCTCTCCAAAAAAACAGAAAAACAGAACATGGTGTGTGTGTGTGTGTGTGTGTGTGTGTGTGAATTAAAATCAGCTCATATCATCACAGAGGTTGAAAAGTTCCACGATGGTCATCTGCATGCTGCAGAGCCGGTGGTGGTGACTCAGTCTGAGAAGCAGGAGCTTCCGAATCAGGGAGACCAACAGCACAGTCTCCAGTCTCAGGCTGAAGGTCCTCAAACCTTTGGAGGACCTCTGGTGTGAATCCTGAAGTTCAAAAGCCAAAGAACCCGGAGTCTGATGTCCAAGAGCAGCAGCAGCAGAAAACGAAAATGTATCCATTTTGCCAGGAAGCAGAAGAAGGGGAAGAGAGAGAGAGAGAGAGAGAGAGAGAGAGAGAGAGAGAGAGAGAGAGAGAGAGAGAGAGAGAACACAAACTCTCTTTCTCCCTTCTTCTGCTTCCTGTTCCATCTGGAGTCCAGCTGACCGCATCGTGTCTTCCCCTCTCAATCTGCTGACCCTCTGTTCTAGTCAGCTTTTTCATTGCTGCAACCAAAAGACCTGACAAGAACAACTGAAGAAGGAATAAGTTTATCTGTGGCTCAGGGTTCCAAGAGTCTCCATCCATAGACAGCCAGCTCCATTCTTCTTAGCAGGAGGTGAGGCTGAACATCATGGCAGAAGTATGTGGTGGAGGGAAAAGGCTTGAGACATAACACCAGGAAGCAGACAGAGACTCCACTCACCATATACCCCAAAAGCACGCCCCCAATGACCCACTTCCTCCAGCCACACAGCCTGCCGATAGTAACCACCAAGTTAACCCCTGTCAGGGCATTAATTTATGGACTGGGTTAAGGCTCTCACAATCTAATCATTTCACCTCTAAATCTTCTTGTATTGTCTCACCCATCAGCTTTTGGGGGACCCCACCCACATATCTAACCATAACACCCACCTGCCAATCTTCTCTGGAAACAGCCTCACAGACACACCCAGATGTGCGCTTTACCTGATCTCCCGGCTTCCATCAGTTCATTCCAGTTGACATCCAAAAATAACCCTCACGCTAAGCAGTGGGCCAACCAACATCTAGGAGTACAGCAGCCAGGCCTGATCACCTGTCTGTACATTCCCTGGATGGACAGATTCTGCTGTGCTAGACACTTCTGCTTCCCTGCCTCTTCATGTCTCTGCCATCCCTCCATCGGCCTCCTTTATCAGCCTGTAGCATGTTTGTAATCATCCATTCTCTTGCATCAGAAGAACTTGTTGCAAAGTATGCAATGGAATCATTTTTCCTGAGTGGGCCAGAGCCATATTCCCCCTCAGGATGGACATGGGGCACTGCTCCTCATGTCCTTACTGGGTCACCTGTGTCCATTTTATGAACTGAGGGATAAGGTCTTCATGGTATGAGAAGGTAGTTGGTAAGTCAGTGGTGGGCAGGTAAGTAAGAACTACATCTCCCACATTAAGTGCAGCACTTATGTCTATTTCTTAAAAAAAAAATGCAGAATCATTAACTATACAAAGCCTGATGACTCTTATTTCCTGAAAAGTATCTTGCATTGACATATTTAGTTCCTCAGTTAAACTTATTTGTCTTTATTCCTCTCCTTTCCTGACAGTCCTTTCTCTGTGTATATTTGCTAAACATGAGGCATATTCAAAATAAAACCTCATTAATTTTTCACTCATTTAGAATTTACTCATTTTACTTTGGAGAGTAACGCAGGTGCAAACTCTTAAACCATGTCTCATACAAAGATTCTTGGTTCCTTTCTAGGAAAAAGTGGGATGTCTATAAATCCTTGAAACAGAGTGAAGAAAGATGTGATTAAGTCATTGCCTGATCAAATATGTGAGGGTCTGGCCAGGGCCTCCTGAACTCACAGTCTGCTTCTCTCTCTTTGCAGAGTTTTGTGATAATGAACCACCGGAGATCAGTTATGCCACCTTCAAAGCCTTGTCCTTCGTTAACGGCACCATGTTAACCTGCGAGTGCAAGAAAGGGTTCCGCAGAATACAAAATGGGTCTCCCTATATGCTTTGTACGGGAAACTCTTTCTGGGAAAACAAGTGCCAGTGTGTAAGCTCTCGTAAGTGGTTCCTTTTGTAAACCCATGGAAAGAAAAATGTGCTAGGCACGATGGTGCATGCCTATAATCCCAGCAGTTCTGGCGGCTGAGGCAGGAGGATCATGAGTTCAAAGCCAGCCTCAGCAACTCAGTGAGACCCTGTCTTTAAATAAAATGCAAAATAGGGCTGGGATGTGGCTCAGTAGTTGAGTGTTCCTGAGTTCAATTCCCGGTACACCCCTCTCAAGGAAAAAAAAAAAACTGGAGGACAGAATGAGACAGAATCCATCTTTCGTTCACTCAGCCTTGAAGACAACAAGTGGCCAGCCGAGTCTATGGGATAACTCACATTGGAGGCTTATGAAATAATCACTCATTAAACAAATGCTTAGTAGGGTGTCTACTACCTCTAAGAACTCCTCTGGGCTTTCTAAAACTGAATTGATCTGACACTGTAATTTTGCTGTTGACCTTTCTCCTTGAATCCCCAAATCTCTCTCACAAAGCCCTACTTCTGCGTTGGCCTCTCACCCACCCTGTGGTATTAGAATGTGCTGAAAGTGGTGGGATTGTTTGGAGATTGTGTGGGACAGTAAGTCAGACTATTATAAAGCCTGGAGATTGCTGCTCTGTGGAAGCACCTGCTTGAGTGTTTCCCAGCAGCTCTCTGTCTTATTCTGACCCCCACCCCATTGGAGTGCTCCCTTTGCCAAACTCTTTTGCCAACTCCTTTGCCAAACTCTTCACTATAGGGAGGGGTATTATAGGAGGGGTCTTCCTGCCATAGCTTTAGGACAGCACTTCTCTAATCGTAAGGATTTGAATAGCATTAGGGGAGTGAAGGGTTCATGGGGTGGTGGAGTCACACCACTCCTGTGTGCCATCTCACATACCCATGCACACCACTGACAGGCCTGATAGCAAGCAAGGATCCCTTTTAGTGAGACATATATGAACAAAAAGGATTATCCACCAGAAAATCTTTAAATTCTTCCAGAAACATTTTGTAGCCATTGTCATTATAGACAGAATATGTAGAAGCCCCTGCAGGGCCAGGTGATAACCCTGCCCACCTAAGGGAGGGCTTGCCCCTGCTCATCAACACCAGCACCAAGATAGAGAATTAGTGCCTATGCAATTAGTAGATGAACCATGTGACCCATTTTAAATGTTTGTGAAGCTGTTTGCTGTACCCCTCTCATATCTTCCAGACCCTAGGAACACAGGGAAACAAGTTACACCTCAACCTGAAGAACAGAAAGAAGGGAAAACCACAAAAATGCAAAGCCAATTGCAGCCTGTGGACCAAGTGAACCTTGCAGGTAAGTGATGCATCTGAGCAACTGACTAGCTGACTCCTGGGAGCTGACCTTCTCCTGCATCGGAATAATGTGTTTCCCCATGGAGAGAATTGAGTCCCACACACTATCCATAAGTGTGTGCATGTCATTCTCCTCTTCTCGGGATACCCTGTGGACAAGAACCATCACTTAACGTTGGCAGGCTGTTTGCTCAGCATCTCCAGCTACCCTTAACAGCACCCAACCTGGGCTGTGATTTGGGAACTGGCCAAATAGAATCAACGTGGTTCAATTCAATCCAATTCAAAGGCATATGTTGGGACTCACTGTGCCAGGCTCTGCCAACAGAAGATGCGAACATGGGTGGGACAACAGTTCCTGCCCTCATGGAAACCCTCTGGTTTTCTCTGAAGTACAAGATGATGAATTACAAACAAAATGATTTTTGTCCAGGTGTTTCTTACAAGATGGAGTTATAAAATGTGCTGTACTATCCTGATGATACTTAAAGGCTCCAGACAAACATCTCCTGGCTAATGAGCTGGAGATGAGTGAGCTCAGCTTTCCCAAGTGAATATGCTTCCATTAAGGCATGACGTCAGGAAACGGAGCCCACTGGGAACACCTGAGCTTTGCCGGGAACAGTTGGCCATATGAAGACCCATTAGTCCTCTAGCCTTACAAAGAACCTTACCATATCGTATAATCTCATTTGAGCCTCACACCCCGGTGAGTCAGGGAGCAGAAAGCATTCCTTCATCTTACTAAAGAAACTGAGGCACCAAGAAATAAAAGTACTCACATAATAGAACTGGAGTAAGATCCCAGGTCTCCTGGATTAGATGAGGGATCTTTCTACTGAGTACTTATTTTAAATGACTTTGAATTTATTTATAGCTTCCATTATGAGGGGAAGGAGGCCAATCCAGGGACACTATGCACTGTGGTGATTTTTCCCTTTGCTCTCTGACTTTGGGCTGCACTAGAATTTCCAAACACGTGTAATGTGTGTTTTGTTTTGTTTTCCCCATTTTACCCTCACAATGATTGAATGATTTCAGAAGTCAATGTGTGTTGTCCTTACTCAAGAGATAACCAGCTGGATCTGGCAGATGGATGCTTCATAAATTGTCATAGTTTGGATGCTTTCATTTGAAAGAAGCAAACCCAATGCAAACAGATTCAGGCAGTGATGGATTTTATTGTCCTTTAAAGAACATTTTATTCTGAGATTAAAACTCAAGCTCAGTCAAGATTTTCAAGGCTCTCTGTGACAGAAGCCAGCTCAGGACCGGGTCATTCTGCTTCCTGCAGCATCACAGGGCTTATCTAGAGTATTTGCAGAGGTTACTTTGGGTACTGAGGTTTATGGAGCATCTGGAAGTTCATGAAATGTGTGCAGTTTCATGGTCTTGGGTTAGAAGGTACACACAGTTCCTTATGATCAGACTGGGGACAGTGGGCGTGGCATCCTGAGATTAAATCAGAACAGAACACAATCTCTGAGGCCAAAGGTTAGCCAAGTCTGGGTTGTAGACAGTGTATGCAAAGTTTATGGGGCATAGGGGAGCTTAGAGTTCTCCACAGGACTCATGTGGATCAAGCTGCAGGCCTGGCTTAACCAGAGCTCATGTTTAATTTCTCTGAGATTTTTTCTCAGTTCTTCCCTCTGGGCTTTGACTTTGTCCCTGGTCACCTGCTGCCATTCAGGGATGTATTTCCTTTCTTCTTCAGCAGAAATCCAAGGTGTCTTTGCCTTGAGTTGAACCTGCCCTTACCCTTGAGCTAAGTTTGTCCTTTCCATCCCTGTCACTTCTCAAAGCCCTCAGTATCTTCCAGGAACCGGCTCAGACACTTCCTCATCTGGGTTAGCATCAGTCAGAATGAATGACTCATTTCCCCATGTCCCCAGCAAGACTCTCTGCTCTTCTGCGATCCTCACCACCTTCTGCCTTCATAGTTCTTACCCCATGGACTGTCCAACCCTTGCAGGTCTCTGTGCCACCCCACAGTGCCTAGCAAGGTTCCCAACATAGGGATGTTCTCAGTCTGTGTTGGTTAAATGAAAGAAGCAAACAAAAGAGAAAACAACAAGGTCCAGTCTCTAGCAAGAGGCCACCTGGACATATTCACAATGCTTTCCGCAGCTTGCCTTCAGAACAGCTTTCTCTCTTCCAGGTCACTGCCAAGAGCCCCCTGCGTGGGAACATGAAGACACAAAGAGAACTTATCATTTCATGGTGGGGCAGACACTTCACTATCAGTGCATCCAGGGGTACAAGACCCTACACAGTGGCCCTTTCCTGAGCGTCTGCAAAACTATCCGTGGAGGAACAAGGTGGACCCGACCCCGGCTCACATGCCTGGATGAAAATGAGCTCCATCTGTTTACAGGTAGGTGGCTCCTCTCTTGCATCCACGCCTTGCTCTCTCCCTCTGTCTGACCAGGGTGGGATTCCTGACTTTACCTGCCACGTGACCCTGGGTAAACCCCTTGATGCTCTGGGCCTCAGTTTCTTCTCATTCTAAAACGAGAATGAGATCTCTAAGGCCCCTTCACCTCAGGTGGCCCTGTGCCCAGAGTGGGCATAAATAGTGATGGAAGAGGAAGTTCTCTCAAGTGTTCTGAAGCAGAGGGATGCTGCTCAGGGCAATAGGATCAGGATCAGCTGCCCTTGGTCTAGCTGATCCTGAAATTTTCCACTACTTCCCCGAGTTACCCAAGCTTCAATCTGCCGCCCCCACGTGTCTTCCTTTCCCAGATTTATGATGTAAACCTGTCATTTGTTAAGTGCTCTACTGTTACCATGCGCCTTCCTGTGTAAGTCCCCACCTGAGCTTTGACGAAAGTGCAGAGAAGGGGTTCACTCAAGCATGAGTGAACACATGCCACCTGCCTAAGTTGAGGTTTTCTGCTATGTGCTCTGAAATCTCACTAATTTCACATTCACCGTGAGAATTCCGGTTTCTTTGCTCACCACGGTTTCTCGTGCCCCATGACTTCCTCTGGGGTTCTCTAGGGATACTATTTCTTTCCCACAGCCTGACTCCAGCGAGCCACCCTGATGGCTAGGGCATGCCCATCATTTCCTCCCATCAAGTGGGAGAGCCTGAGTAACTGATCCCAGCCCGGGACAATGACACTGGGGAGGACCAGAGGACCTGTCAAAGAGGAAAGCTATCCCTTTGTGCATTTCCACTCCATGTGATGGTTCACGGTGCTTGGGTTATTAGCACCATTTCCAAGTCAAAGGTGGAAGCTAGGGCTGAACAGAGAGACTGGGGAGAAATCATGGCTCACAGTTCCATGCACAGCCAGGATCAGGGCCAGAATTCCCCATCGTCGGCTCTGCTGCAGCCCTTTACCTGTTTCCCAGTGACCCTGATGTGGAACCGTGTGGTGTGCCATCCCTAGAGATGCAACCACACCAGGAGACATGCCTCAGCAGGAGTATCCAGGGCCAGCTGCAGTGGGCAGATGCAAGAGGGGGGACTCCTGCCTCCCCACCTTGGGCCTCACAAGCAGCACTTTCTCTCCCCAGGTGAAGTTGACATTCAAACAAGCACAGATGATCTTCCTGAGAGTGAGACTTACCACACCATCACCACAACAGGTATGGGGGAGATGCTTGGCCATCAAAGCCAGATCAGGAAAGGGCAGGCAGTCTGCCTGATGCAAGCCTCTCTGGCAGATGGGCAGGGTCAGGAGAACCAACCCTGGCAGCCTCCTCCAGAGCAGGGACACGCCTCAGCAACCTGCATACCCAAAGCAGGTGTCAGAAAGAGGAACCACAGGACTGAGGTCTCCAGGCACAGGGATGAGGCATCTGCCCTCTGTTGACCATGGAGAAGTCATTCTCCCCAGCCTTGTGCACTCTACTTGCCATAAACTGAATGTCTCCCCCGCCCTCTTTTCATAGATTTCCAACAACACTCAGAAGTAGCAACAACCATGGAGACGTTCTTGTTCACGATGGAGTACCAGATAGTAGGTGGGTGACATCCTTTTCTCTGTGGACAAAATGTACACCAGACCCTGACATGGACAGGTTGGTTGGCTGGTTTAAAAGGTCCTGTCCTCACATGACATGTTAATAAGGGTAGAAGGTGAATCCAGATCCTAACATTACCCAAGAATCAGTTATAATAGGTTATAAGTTAATTTTCAAACCACACCCAACGTCTTCCTCTTGAGTGGGTCTAAAAGGAGCCCCCATAACCATGAGCCAGGCGAGAGGCCAGGGAGAGAAAGGAAACACGCTCCATAAACACTGTCGTTGTTTCCACATACGAGGGGAAAATGAGCCTTGGAGTTCCATCGGCCTGGACAACTGAATGAACGTGGAGCTCCAGAACCAGCAGTTGGAAAATGTGAGCAGGTTCAGGAGGGACTCATGTACTTATCATTTCTCTTCTGTTTCAATGATTCTTTCACCAGACACAGGCCTCACTCGCAGCCTCCTTAGGTGAGGCCTGGCCTCAGAGCACGTCCGAATTGCTTGTCTTGTCAGTTTACCCCAGAGGAGAGGTACCAGCTCCTTTCCCTAAAGACTCTCCTTCCAGGCCCACCTGGCCCTTATCCTCCTTGAGCCTCCTAAGAAATCCGTGGGGGTGGGACCTGCATTCTAAGAAGGGAGAGCGGAAAATGCAGTGCCCACCCTTCGGGAGGCTCTTGCTCATCTGGGGCACCTTCTCCCCAGCTCTGGGGACCCAGCTTCTGCTGGCCCCATGCCCAGCCCCAGGCACCCCTGCTGAACGCCCTCTCTGTTGACAGTGGCCGGCTGTGTCTTCCTGTTGATCAGCATCTTGCTTCTGAGTGGACTCACCTGGCAGCGGAGATGGTGAGTCCCACATTGTCAAGGAAGCCTGTCATTTAGAGTAGGGAAAGCGTCCCAAAGTTTGGTCCCTGTAACAACAGCAGCATAAGCACTGACCAGGGCTGTGCGCTAGGCCAAGAGTATTAAGAATTAAGAAGCCATCTTGAGAAAAGCCTTTAGAGAGTAGACCATAAGACCCACGGTGTCACTCTGTGAGTATCCAGGACGTCCCTGCCTGCCAGAATCCACTCTGGCCAACCCTGACATAAACTCCCAAATAAGACCTGGTAAGATACAGATCCTCCCCTCAAAACCCAAAGTTCTTAGAGTCTTCATTTAGCCCAGCCAGAGAGGGGAAAAAAAAAAAAGCAGATTCCTTCCATTCCTTCCTTCCCTAAGGAAGGAATACACTCTTAACTTTCCTCATGTAGACTGAGAAGTACAAATTATTTCAGTGCAAATGAGAAGCCCTTCAGGGTTATTGCATCGGGAATTATTCACAGATCTGGCAATCCCCCCGTTTCTTTCTAAGGCGTTATTTCAGGATTACAGGAGATGAAGCGTGTAAAGTGTCTGACATATTGTCAGGTCTTCTCCCTCCCCAAGCTGAGTACTTGGCAAGGACCTTTCCGTTTGGTAGCTTGAAGACCAAAATCCCTCAGTCACAGAGGACAGACCACTGGGGAGCAGTCATGGTTCAGTTTATGTAGAGAAGTAAAGGACTGCCTGAAACTGTCTGAATTCCCACAAGACCTCCCAGGATTACAATCTCTGGAGAGATTCAAACTATCTGAGTTCCCACAAGACCTCCCAGGATTAGGTCTCTGGAAAGATTCGAACATAAATTAAAAAAAAAAAAAAAAAAAAAAAAAAATCCTACTTTCTAGAATCTAATTTCGTTTGATGGCGCCCTCTTGTGGCTTAACAGATATTCTACATTTAATTTACTGGACCATCGTGGGACCCCAGCCAGAGATTTGTTTTATTTTTTTGTTTGTCTGTTTTTGTGGTACTGGCGATTGAGACCAGAGGCTCTTTGCTATAAGCCACATCCCCATCCAGTCCTTTATTATTTTTCTTTTTGAGACAGAATCTTACTGAACTGCTGAAGGTCATTTTTAAATGGTTTGTTTTGGAGTAATCACCAGGAACCAGAGAAGTGTTACAGCAAGCTCACATTTTGGTTAAATTTTCAGGGACTTTTTGGGATAGTTTGATTTTGTTGTTGTTTAGCAATGGTAGGGACCAAACCCCAGGGCCTTGAACATGCTAGCAATTTCACTAACACTGAGCTACGCCCCCAGCCCTATCAACTGTTTTTTTTTTTTTTAACTCATCTGCATTTATTACTGTTTAAAGCAGAATGTTGACTTGGGCACTACATATTTCCATTCACAAGCCTTACTGAGTTACTTTTTGAACAGCTTTGTAACACACCTAAGGGAGGTTTGAGATTTTGTTTCTTGAAATACTTTTCTTTGGAAAACAAGCCCTAGAGAGTTCCTCCCAGCCAGTTGTCTGTTTCACATACTTGGTTCTAGAGGACTAGTACATGCACAGTGGGTAACTACAGGGGATCCTAATGAGATGAAACTCAAGCCATTTTAACAAATATCTTTCTTTTAAACATCAAGGTCTATCTTGGAACACTTCAGGGACAAAAGATTTGGTCTGGTCTACTAAGGGATACAACTTGGTAGTGGAACACTTTAGACTACAAAGTTAGGTTACATGTCTTAAAACAAACATCTCAACCTGTTAAAATAAGCCAATGTGAAACTAGAAAAAGCATTACTAGCTCTGCTTTAGTGCCTAAAGTATCACAGTATATCACTTAAAAGTACAAAGAAATCTAAGCACAGCTGTTTTTAAAAATTAGAGTATAACAAACTACATTAAAAACAAAGGCAATACATACTCAAAACTGATCACTTCCAAATTATTTTACTGCATTTCACTGAGATCTTTGCTCTCAAGGTAATTCACATCTATTGTACCTGTATCATGGAAATACCACAGGACGGTGTGCTACCGTGACTCTCCTCCCAGTTTTGTGTCCAGGGATGTCACGTGGGCAGCTGGATGCTTAGCATGGTAGGAGTACCTACACATGGAAACAGGCAAAGTTTTTCGGAGGGTTGATTGTAAGACATTCCTAGCACACCTCTGCTCTGAGTTTGCCCTGAGAAGCTTTAAGCAAGGTAGGGAATAACCTGATATTCTTATGAGCTCATTAAGGACTGAGAAAACTAAAAACCATACTGTCCAACATGGCAGCCTCTAGCCACTTATGGATATTTAAGTTCAATCTTGGATAATTTAAATACCATTAAAAATTCGATTCCTTGGGCCAGGCATGGTGGCACACACCTATTTAGGGATATAGCTCAGTGGTAGCTCACTTGCCTTGTGTGAGTAAGGCTCTGGGTTCTATCCCTTGTACTAAAATAAGGAAGGAAGGAAAGAAGAAAGGAAGGGAGGGAAGGAGAGAGGATGGAAAGACGCACGGACTCCTGTAGCCAGGACTCCTGTAGCCACCGTGTCCTAGAACAAAATGTAAAGTGAAGATCTCAGGTAATATGCCCCTTGGGATTTAGCCACAAAACAGCCCATCTGTTCTTTGCTCCCTCAGACCCACATCAAGGTCTATCTGCCTCTGGAGTAATGGGGACACAGGAGGGCTTCCAGGACTCTTCCTCAGACCCCCCTTATTGAACACTAAATTGAAGAGTGAACCATAAAACAGAGGCTAAGACTGGGCAGCCACTTTGGGCCTCCAGAGGGGCGGCAAGATCGCAAGGTCAGGTTTCACCAAGTAGGAAGGTAATGGTATCCTGGGGTAGAATCAAAATTAGCAGGTCACACTTCTGGTTGGGACTCAAGTAGAATATTCTGCCCATATTGGTATAAGGTGGGGACCACATTTTCCTTGGCACAATTATTACCCATATGGCTATGACTGAGTTATTATCACCACAGGAAGAAGAGTAGAAGAACCATCTAGAAAACCCAAAGTGGTGAGAAGCCAAGAACAGCCAACAGAAGTCATGAGGCAGAAGCAAAGTCAGAGAGGTCAAACGCTCATCTCGCATCTCGCATCTCACATCTCTTGGCTTTGGGGAACCTCTGGATTCACATCACAGGACATCAGGAAGCTGCTGCCATATCACTAAGACAATCTGTACCATCAAAGAGGGAGACCTGCCCACTTCTATCCAGAATTTCCAAGGTCTTTAAAGGGAAACGGAACTCTTTGACTTATCTTTGTGGACATGGGTTGATTAAAGATAGAACAGCATGGAATGTTCTCCATATCCTATACAATATAAAGTAACTTTGTGTTGACTTCATCCCAATTTCCCAGTTTGGAAATCCCAGGTAAAGCCTTAGCACTAACATAAGTAGTCTCCCTCCCATGCCATCCCGTGCGCCTGGATCTCATCTGTGGGGACCTTTCCCAGCTCCGGTTGGCTAGTCCATTCTGATCACTTTGTTTACTAAACAACCTTTAAGAACTCTGGGCTGGCGACTAGCACACTGAGCCTAGCTCAATACTGTAGCGCAAACCTTTTCTTTTGAGGCTTCAGATTTGAATCTCTAAAGAAAAAAAGCTGTGGCAGAATCATTTGTGGAAAATATCAAAATAAGGCAGCTAATCCCTTGGAATTGTGAAGCTTCAATATTGGAGAGGATTCGAGAGGATTTCAAATATTGAATGCTAGTGTCAGGAACAGGAGGGTAAACTATGTTCCAGAGAATGAATTATACTTATCAAAATACTTTACTTGTATCTTATTATCAGGACTCTTTAAGAGTTGGCTTCTTTGGGATTGCTGTAAATTACACTCAGAGCTGGGCCTACACTAATTTGATGTTTACTGGTAGACACACAATGTACAAATGTGCACATTTCCCAATACATGTCATAAAAACACTGAAAAAGGATCAGTTCATTCAATGTTGATGGAAGGAAGGAAGTGAATGGGGGAAGTGATACTGATAAAATTTTGCGGTAGAAAAGGTGCCCCTGTGGTCCTCAACTGTTACCCAAAAGCTCAGCAAGTCAGAAGGCTTGGAGGCCTTCTTAAAACAGATCGCTGGGCCCACCTCTGGAGTTGCTGAGTCAGTAGATCTGGGATTTTTATTTCTAATAAGTTTCCAGGTGATTCTAATGGTGCTGGTCCAAGGAACCAGCTGAGAATCAGTGTGCATTCCGTGTGCCCACCCACCCTCAACTGCTAGTGAAAACATCAGCTTCAGGTGCTGAGGCCTCTGAGCATTCTTCTTCAGTCTCATAAGAGATATTTCTTCAAACCGGTTGGCTCAGATGTTCAAATTTAACATCATGTGATTTCATGAGATTAGAGAGAAGTTTGAACTATCAACCAGTTTTCATTTCTGGAAAGGCAGAAGAATGTGTGTTTAGGCAGGACGTGGTGGAGCATGACTATAATCCCTGTAAGTGGGAAGGCTGAGGCAGGAGGATTGTAAGTTCAAGGCCAGCTTCAGAAACTTAGTGAGACCCTCTCTCAAAATAAAAAAATTAAAAGAACTGGGATGTAGCTCAATAGTAAAGCACCCCTGGGTTCAATCCACGGTACCAAAAAATAAATCAATAATAAATAAGAATGAGCTAGTTTCACCAGGACCTACATTCAGATTTTTTCTATGATTAGCCAAGTACAAAGCAGACTTTCTTTTTCATGCTCCCTTTCCCAAATATAGGCTTTCTAGGTAAATTAAATTTGAGAGGCATCTCAGACAAGAATTTTAAAATATAATATTTTTAAAAAATTCTTCCTTGAGTAAAACTGAATTGTATGATCATTACTCATTTTGGAAAAGAGGGGGCTATTACATCAACATTTTTTTCTTATTAATTTCAGATTTACTTACCTATTTTATTCTCCCTCACTTATGACAATAGAAATAACAAATTTGAAATAAGAAAACGGTTTATTCTGAGCCAACACAAGCCCTGGGAACACCAACTCAAATTAATGACATGAGTTCCCAAAGCACAGGGTTCCCTAAGGACATGATCCTCCCGGAAAGAGATTACACAAGTATTTTATAGTGCCAATAAAGTAGGTGGGGTCCCCAGGCGAGCTACAAAATGGTAGGGAAATCTTCCACGGTTTTCAATAAAGCAGGGGAATCTCCTCCAGGAGTCAAGTACCATCTCATTATTAGTCTGAAAATTAAATAGTGGTCCATGAAGCTTAGCAGACATTTACCCAGTGGTCACAAAAATGCTAGGTTGGGCACAGAGGCCCGTGATACATGGCTGTAAAAGGAGCCTAATTAAATCATCCAATACAACTTAAGCTTCTTATGACATTTCATCTCTCCACAAGGTCACAACACTCCAATCAGTGAGATTTAAACCATCTGGGAGCTCTTAAATACAGACATGGCCTCTTTGAGGACTCTTCAGTTCACACTCAGAAGTAGTGGAATTTTCAAGAAATCACATGCTATGTGATGAGTTCATATCATGAGTTCATTTCCATTGTTGATGAAAGAATGGATAAATGGTATTGTAATTTTTTCTTGTTTTTAGTTTTTAAGTATGGTAAATATCAACAGATATAAACCTACACAAACAAAAGCTCTTTGGGATCCTCCCAAGTTTGTAATAGCTTTAATGTTTTTAATTATTTTTTATTCTAACTTGTTATATAAGACAGCAGAATGCATTAAAATTCATATTACATATATGTAGAGCACAACTTTTCATATCTCTGGTTGTACACAAAGTAAGTCACACCATTCGTGTCTGCATACATGTACTTAGGATAGTGATGTCCATTTCATTTCACCGTCTTTCCTACCCCCATGCCCCTTCCCTTCCCCTCCCTCCCATTAGATAAACTCTACCTAGAGTTTGTCTATTTCTCCCATGCTCCCCGCCCAACCCTATTACGAATCAGCCTCCTTATATCAGAGAAAACATTCATCATTTGGTTTTGGGGAATTGGCTAACTTCACTTAGCATTATCTTCTTCAACTCCATCCATTTCCCTGCCATGATTTTATTCTCTTTTAATGCTGAATAATATTCCATTGGGTATACATACACGTTTTCTTTATCTATTCATCAACTGATGGGCATCTAGGTTGGTTCCACAGTTTAGCTATTGTGAATTGTGCTGCTATAAATGTTGATATGGCAAGAGGGCCTGATGAAGGACTAGTGAGAAAATCAATTGCACAGGTATTTCAAAAAGACGAAATTTAAAACTACAAGAAAAGCCAGTGTGGTGGCACACACCTGTAATCCCAGCAGCTCAGGAGGCTGAAGCAGGAGGATCACAAGTTCAAAGCCAGCCTCAGCAACAGCCAGGTGCTAAGCAATTCAGTGAGACCCTGTCTTTAAATAAAATACAAAATAGGGCTGGGGATGTGGCTCAGGGGTCAAGTGCCCTTGAGTTCATTCCCTAGTCCCCCCCCCAAAAAAAAAAAAACCTTCAAGGAGATATCACTTTATGCCCACTAAGGAGACTTTAAACAAAAGAAGGAGAAGAACCCTCATAAAGTTCTGGGGGCAGAGTAAATGGTGCAGCCACTGTAGAAAAGAGATTGAGGGCTCCTCAAATCACTAGGCGTAGAATTATCCTCTGACTCCACAATTCCACTGTTATTCATGTTCCCAAAAGAGAAGTGTCCAAACAGAAACATGTACACAACTATTTCTGTTGTGTGCATGCCAAAAGGTGTTCAATCCAAGGGAACTTTTCAGGCACTAGAGAACAGGAGAGGTGGGGACAACTAAAGGTATTAAATAACCCAACAGGAGACAGTAAAACCTAGATGACCTTTAAAGACTGCACACCGTTGGGTATTCATCCAAAGGGGAATGCAGGGCTAGGGGGACCACAAGCTCTGGAGGATACAATGCTAACTGTACCGGACCTGGGTGTGCCTGCTCCTCAGACACCCAATCTTGCAAGAGCGTCATTAAAGCCTCTATTTTTTGCTACACTTTGTGTCTCTTAGTCCATTCTTAGTCCCTCTTGTCCAGTCCAGTGAGCCTCCACTCCTCCCTCCCACCCCACCACCCACTGTTGTGAGTCAGCATCCACATATCAGAACGAACATTTGGCCTTTGGTTTTTGAGCTGGCTTATTTCACTTAGCATGATAGCCTCCAGTTCCATCCACTTACTGGCAAATGCCATAATTTAATTCTTCTTTGTGGCTGAGTAATATTCCATTGTGTATATGTGCCACATTTTCTTTATCCATTCATGTATTGAAGGGTATCTAGGTTGGCTCTATAGCTTAGCTATTGTTAACTGAGCTACTATGTACATTGATGTGACTGCATTGCTATAGTATGCTGATTTTAAGTCCTTTGGGTATATGCCAAGGAGTGGTATAACTGGTCAAATGGTGGTTCCATTCCAAGTTTTTCAAGAAATGTCCATACTGCTTTCCATTGTGGTGGCACCAATTTGTAGTCCCATCAACAATGTATGAGTGTACCTCTTTCTCCACATTTTCACCAACATTTATTGTTACTTATATTCTTTAAACAATTTTTTTTTAGTTGTAGATGGACATGATAGCTTTTTAAAAAAAAATTTATGTGGAGCTGAGGATCAAATTCAGTGCCTGACATGCGCTATGCATGTGTTCTACCACTGAGTTACATTGCCATTCTGACTGGAGTGAGATAAAATCTCAGTGTAATTTTAATTTGCATTTCTCTAATTGCTAGTGATATTGAACATTTTTCATATATTTGTTGACTATTTGTATTTCTTCTGTGAACTGTCTGTTCAGTTCCTTTGTCCATTTATAGATTGGGTTATTTGGGTTTTTTGGTGTTTTTTGAGTTCTTTATATATCCTGGAGATTAACACTGTATCTGAGGTGCAGGTGGCAAAGATTTTTTCCCATTCTTGATCTGTAGTATAATCTTCATGTTCTTGATCATTTCCCTTGCTGTAAAGAAGCTTTATAGTTTGATACAATCCTATTTATTGATTCTTGATTTTTTTTGGCAGGTGTCATGTGTATCCAAAGAATTGAACTCAGGGGCACTCAACCACCGAGCCACCTCCTCAGCCTTATTTTGTATTTTATTTAGAGACAGGGTCTCACCGAGTTGCTTAGTGCCTCACTTTTTAAAAAAATATTGTTTTAGATGTTGATGAACGTTTATTTTATTCATTTATTTATATGCAGTGCTGAGAATCGAACCCAGTGCCTCACACATGCTAGGAAAGTGCTTCACCACTGAGCCACAACCCCAGCCCTTACTGCCTCGCTTTTGCTGAGGCTGGCTTTGAATTCACAATCCTCCTGTCTTAGCCTCCTGAGCCGCTGGGATTCCAGGCATGTGCCACTGTGCACCACCACACCCGGCCTGATTCTTTTTTTTTTTTTTTTAATTTTTTTTAGTTATACATGGACACAATATCTTTATTTATTTTTATGTGGTGCTGGGGATTTTACTTCTTGCGCTTTTAGGAGTCTTGTTGAACAATTTGGTTCCTAAGCCAACATGATGGAGATTTGGGCCAACTTTTTTTTTCTATTAGGCACAAGGTTGCTGGTCTAATGCCTACGTCCTTGATCCACCTTGAGTTGAGTTTTGTGCAGGGTGAGAGATAGGGATCCAATTTCATTTTATTTCATATGGATTTCCATTTTCCCCAGCACTATTTGTTGAAGAGGCAATCTTTTCTCCAATATATGTTTATGGCACCTTTGTCTACTATGAGATAAATGTATTTATGTGGGTTTGTATCTATGTCTTCTATTCTGTACCACTGGTCTTCATGTCTATTTTGGTGCCAATACCATGTCATTTTTTGTTATTATAGTTCTGTAGTATAATCTAAGATCTGGTATTGTGATGCCTCCTGCTTTATTTTTCTTGTTAAGGATTGCTTTGGCTATTCTGGGTCTCTTATTTTTCCAAATAAATTTCATGACTGCTTGTTTTATTTCTATAAAAAAAAAAACCTTAATAGGAATTGCACTAAGTCTGTATAGTGCTTCTGGTAGTATGGACATTTTGACAATATTAATTTTGCCTATCCGAGAACATGAGAGATCTTTCCATCTTCTAAAGTCTTCTTCAATTTCTTTCTTTAGTGTTCTGTAGTTTTCATTGTAGAGGTCTTTCACCTCTTTAGTTAGATTGATTCCAAAATATTTTATTTTCTTTCAGGCTATTGTGAATGGGATAGTTGTCCTAATTTCTCTTTCAGTTGATTCATCACTGATATATAGGAATGCAATTGATTTATGGGTATTAATTTTATATCCTGCTACTTTGTTGAATTCATTTATGAGTTCTAAAAGTTTTCTGGCAAAGACTATTGGGTCTCCTAAATATAGAATCGGTCATCAGCAAATAGGGATTGAGTTCTTCTTTCCCTATTTGTAGCCCTTTTAATTTCTTCTGTGTAATTGCTCTGGCTAGAGTGTCAAGGACTATATTGAATAGAAGTGATGAAAGAGGGCATCCCTGTCTGTTCCAGTTTTTAGGGAGAATTCTTTCAATTTTTCTCCATTTGGAATGATGTTGACCTTGGGTTTAGCACATATAGCTTTTACAAGGTTGAGGTATGCTCCTACTATCCCTAGTTTTTCTAGTGTTTTGAACATGAATGGATACTGTGTTTTGTCAAATGCTTTTTCTGCATCTATTGAGATGGTCATGTGATTCTCGTCTTTAAGCCTATTGATGAATTACGGTTATTGATTTCTGTATGTTGAGCCAACCCTGTGTTGCTGGGATGAGCCCCACTTGGTCATGGAGAGGTGAGCAAAAGGAACGTCCAAGATGTGCCCTTGAAGAGGACGGGCGTGCCCTTCCCCCTCATCATCTCTTCTCACGGACAGGCCCTTGGTCTTGCTAGAACCACCAGTGGCAAGAAGCCACCTGCCAAGTTTAACAGGGACACAAAATCAAAGGGACCTGGACACCTATTTTCACAGAGGTGTTATGCTGTGACTGCGTACACCTGGACTGTACTCATGCCAGAAATTCACACCCATTCCCACTGTGATTTTTGCCCTTGTTAGGGAAAAATTAGCAATCACATCCCTACTGATATTAGATATAAACCTATACTTTCCCCTAAAAATATCTGCTTTTCTAGTCATATTAACATAAAAATATTTTCAACTAAAAATAGGATCAAGAATCAACATTCAACATCATAGCAGATTCATGTAATGACAGGTTTTCTGCTCCATGCCTACCTCCTGGAAAGTTCCCCCTCCAGGAGGTAAGTCTATAAGATAGAATGGCACCAGGTCTCTTTAAATTTGACTGCTCCCTTAATCATGTTCAAGGAATGATGACAGTCAATTTGCAACATCTCTGAAGACTTTCCAGAAATGTTGGTTCACATGGAACTATTCCTATGAGATGATGTTTTCTGGCTAAGTCGGGAATGAGAAGTCTGCTGAGACATTCACCCTCACTGCAATTTCCACTCCCACTTCAAGGAACAAGATGCCAAACACATGTCCTCTTCTATGGTAGTGAGGATCCTACCAATGTGACAGTGGAGATAAGAAAGAATCTTTGATCACAAGGTAACAAAATTATCAAGCGCTATATTTGCCTATGTGTCACTTAAGATTCAAAGTAGGAAATCAGAGAAAATCCCAATAGTTCCATGGAACTATGCATCCCTCACATAGTAGTTTCCTTCCTGGCTCATCAACCTTATGAATAACCTAATTGATATTTTTTCCCTCTCTTCTGTCTCTAGTCATGTTAGCTTGATTCAAAGACCAGCCTATCCTCCAAAGCCTGCAGCCTCAGCTTCTGCCTCTAGCTTTTCTATGTATATGACATAGGGCCAGGGAGTCAGACCAATGGAATGATCTCTGAGACAGACACCCTCCTTTTTCTTCTCTTCCAGTCTCACCTCTTAAAAAAATGCAGTTAGTCCCCCTTAGGTGTATCAGACATGCCCAGATAAACCTGTCAGGGGTGAACCTAGGTGAGAGGGACTTCCAGTCCATGTACACCATGTGTAAAATGCTGTTAGGACCTTTAAATTCTGGGTTCTTCACGTATTTATTTTGCAAATATTTAACACCACTCCCTTGGGAAAACCTGCAAAAAGCTCTGTAGCTGGTGTGATCAGATGCTATCTATGTAAACTATTCCATTTTGGCAGAGTAAGAATCTAAGGCTCCACACAGTACGCACTGTCTCCCCGCAACAGCCTACACTCAGATACACAGAATAAAATCGATAGATATTGATCTGCTGTATTCCAAAAACACCACACCAGGTGTGAGACCCAAGAGGCAGGAAATAGGAGACAACCAGGAAAACAGGTTTCCTTCCCATCCACATCCTCAATGCGCCTGTTGTTAAGGAAGAGAAAAGGAGTCTCCATCTTCTGGCTGCTCTGTGATTTGTAGAGGAAAGGTAGGTTTGGATACACAGTATCAAAATGAGGAGCGCAAGAACTCAAGGGAATCCCTGAATGAATACAAGTCCTGCAGACGGAAATTGGAAAGGCAAGACAGAACTTCAGACGGCCCCCGGAGTTTCCCTCTGGTAGATGTGAGAGAATGGGATCCACACATCCGCAGGTGCCCACTGGTGAGGGATAGTTAACTGAGACCATGGACAGCCACACCTTCCTTCCAGGGGTCACCAAGAAAGGATCCTGGGCTCCCTGCTGCAGACCCACAGGATGTTGGAACAGAAGAACTTGAGATGGACATCCGTGCCGGAAATTGAATGAGCACCCTCAGATTTGCAGGCTCCTACTTGATGGGGCCTGTCACCGGGAATCCTCAGCATCTAGGCACACTGGAACCAGATGGAAGTGAAATCCCCACCTGCAGGGTATGACCAGTCAGGATACTTCCACTATCCCTCCCTACAGTCCCTGGCTGCCGCTAGCTGCAGGATCCCTCCAGGAAAGTACTCAAAGAAAAGGGGACTTTAACTCAGACTCTGAGTTAATAATTGACCTGGAAACTACTGAAGTG